GTTTTGCGTCAATGTTCATCAAAGAAATGGGTCTATAGTTCTCTTTCTTTGATGAGTCCCTGCCTGGTTTTGGGATGAGGGTTATGATGGCTTCATAGAATGTGTTCGGTAGTGAGCTTTCTCTTTCAATTTCATTGAAGAGTTGGAGGAGTATTGGTGTGAGCTCTGCTTTGAAGGCCTTGTAGAATTCTGCTATAAAACCATCTGGTCCTGGACTTTTCTTAGCTGGTAGGTCTCATATTGCTTTTTCTATTTCAGTACTTGATATAGGCCTGTTAAGATGGTTTAACTCATCTTGGTTTAGTTTTGGCATGTCAATATTTGCTAGGAAAAGGTCCAATTCTGTCAAGTTCTCAAACTTATTAGCATAGAGTTTTGAGAAGTATTCCCTTATAATGTTCTGAATCTTGGTTGTTTCTGTGGTGATGTTTCCATTCTCATCTCTGAGTTTATTAATTTAGGTGTGTTCTCTTCTTTTTCTGATAAGATTTGCTAAGGGTCTGTCAATTTTGTTAAGTTTTTCGAAGAACCAACTCTTTGTTTTGTTGATTCTTTCTATAGTTTTTTTGGATTCTAATTCATTTAATTCTGATTTAATTTTGATTATTTCTTTCCATCTACTGGATTGGGGTTTATCTTGCTGCTCTTTTTCAAGGAGGTTTAGATGTGTCATTAAATTGTTAGTTTCAGATCTCTCCAATTTGTTGATGTAGGAGCTCAGAGCTATAAACTTGCCTCTGAGTACTGCCTTTGCTGTGTCCCAGAGGAGCTGGTAATTTGTGTGCTCATTTTTGGTGAATAGCATGAACATTTGAATTTCCTTTCTAATCTCTTCCATGACCCACTCATGATTCAGCTGTGTGTTGTTCAGCCTCCATGTGATGCCGGACTTTCTTTGGTGGCTTTTAGTGTTGAGTTCTAATTTTATTCCCTTGTGGTCACAGAGGATGCAAGGTATAACTTCAAAGTTTCTGAATTTAGACAAGTTTGCTTTGTGGCCTAAAATGTGTTCTATTTTAGAAAATGTTCCATGTGCTGCTAAGAAAAACGTGTATTCTGATGCTGCTGGGTGAAATGTTCGGTAGATGTCTGTTAAGTCTATCTGATCTATGCAGCTGTTTAGATCTGCGGTTTCTCTGTTGAGTTTTTGCCGAGTTGATCTATCTAGTGGCGAGAGTCGTGTGTTAAAATCCCCAACAATTAATGTCTTTGGATCTATATGGGATTTGAGGGAAAGTAGTGTTTCTTTGATAAATTTGGGTGCTCCCAAATTGTAATATCCTCCTGAAGGAGAGATCCTTTAATTAGTATGTAGTGACCTTCTTTATCTCTTCTCACGAATTTTAATTTGAAATCTATTTTATCTGATATTAGGATTGCAACTCGCGCCTTTTTATGGGGGCCGTTTGCTTGGTAGATTTTGTTCCAGCCTTTAACATTGAAAATGTGTTTGTTTTTTGAGGCAAGATGTGACTCCTGCAGGCAGCAGATAGAAGGGTCTTGTTTTTTAATCCAACTAGACAGTCTATGTCGCTTAATCGGAGAGTTCAATCCGTTAACGTTAAGAGATAGGACTGAGAGGTATTTGGGAGTTCCTGCCATGTTATCCACCTTTTTGGGGGCTGCAAAAACTGGGTTCTTCCTATGGTTCTTGGATTCTCAGTTTGGGTGCAGTTTCTTGGCCTTTATTGCGGTCTTGTTGGTAGGACATCTTTAAGAATCTTTTGTAGGGCTGGTTTGGTGGAGATGTATTGTTTCAATTTTTCTTTGCTATGGAAGGTTTTTATTTGGCCTTCAGTTATGAAGGAGAGTTTAGCTGGGTACAGTATTCTTGGTTGATAGTTGTTTGTTTTTAGGGCATGGCATACATCATTCCAGGCTCTTCTTGCTTTGATTGTCTCTGCTGAGAAATCTGAGGTGATTCTAATTGGTTTCCCTTTATAGGTGATTACCTTTTTCTCCTTGACAGGTTTAAGGATCTTTTCCTTGGTCTGAGTTGATCCTGTGTGGATTATAATGTGACGGTGGGATGTCCTATTCTGGTCTGGTCTATTTGGGGTTCTAAAAGCTTCTTGTATCTGAATAGGCCTACCTTTTTGTATGTTTGGGAAGTTCTCTGCTAGGATCATGTTAAACAAATTTCCTAGACCATTAACTTCTGTTTCTAGGTCTTCCTCTACACCCATTATCCTTAGATTAGGCCTTCTGATGGTGTCTTCCAGTTGTTGGATAGATCTATCATATTTCTTGGACTTGGATGGTTGTATGTTCTTTCTGTATAATATCTAGGCTGTCTTCAATCCCTGAGATTCGATCTTCTGCATGGTCTAACCTGCTGTGAGGACTCTCTCCTTTGTTTTTTATCTCTTTTCCTTCTAATTGGTCAGCTTTGATGGTTTCAAGTTCTTTGTTGAAGCTCTGTTTTAGGTCTTGTATGAATTTCTTTACTTCCTTAATTTGGTGTTCAGTGTTTGTCCTCAAATCACTTAGTTGATTGGTTATGGTTTCTTTGGACTCCCATTCCTTCTGTTGGGTTCCATTCAGCATTCCCTTTGTGGTCTCCCTGACTTCCTTCAGCTCTTTGTTAATGGATTCCATGAATGCCTTTAGTGATCTTTGTGTATTCTCTACCTGGGCTCTCAAATCCTGTATTACTCTTTGATTAGCTTCCTCCCGTTCGTGGGATTCCTGTAATTCTCTTTCCTCCCGTTCGTGGGATTCCTGCAGTTCTCTTTGAGTGTTCTCAGCCTGCTCACGCCATTCCTCCCTTTCTCTTTGAGTATTCTCAAGTTGTTCACGCAAATCCTGTATTAGTTTTTGAGTAGCTTCCTCACGCTTATGATATTCCTGTATAAGCTTTTGGGATGCTTCCTCTCTCTCCCTTTCACGCTCATACAGAGTCCTTTGTAAGTTGTCAAACTTCTCATTTATCATGTTTGCCAGTAGTTTTTGTAGAGCTATTTGGGAACTCTCCTCTGGATTATTCATTATCTGTTCTGACCCCTGATTATCAAGATTGGGAATTAAGATATCCAGGTTTGCCATTTTTCTTGTGTTTTTCCGGCTTACTCTGCCCATTTGAGATGAAAATAGCACCAGTTTTGTGCTAGAACACTATCTTAAGGCAACCATCAATCAAAGTTTGCATTTTTACAGTCAATAGTCTACAGATACAATCTAGTTCAACAGATACATCTATTCAACATCAAACAACTATATGTTAATGAGCTTCGAACCACAGAGAAGAATTTGAAAAACCAGAGATTATTAGGGTTAGGGAGAGATGTAGGTAAAAAATAGGAATAGATTGCTGTGGGGAGGCACAGGGAGAGTTAACTATGTCCTAATCCCAATGCAGGAAATAGGTAGGGTAGGATGCAAGTAGAGAGAGGGAGAAAAAGAAGAAAGGGAAAGGGAAATGAAAAGAGACCAGAAAAAAATAGAAACTTAAAAATTAATATTATTATGGAGATTAAAAGACCATCTATTTAGAGAGGAATGTGAGTATATTAAGAGAAGGGAAGGGACATCGAGGAGAAGTGAAAAACTTAAAAATGCTTAAAATATTATATAGGTATAAAGAGGTAATACTGCTATTAAGGAATTTAAGTCTCAGAGGTTTTGAATTGAGTAATAAATTTGTGGATTAAGTGTGTACACAATGGGGGATAGGGTCTACTAGTTAACTACGGGTTTATCTGAGGATGTGCAGGACAAGAGTTAAGTCACATAAAGAAGATCAAAAGAGAGGAAAAGGTGGAAAGGATAAGAAAGGGAGAAAAAAGCATCAGAAGTTCAGTAGAGCTAGACAAAAAACAAAAAGATAGTTAAGAAAGAAAGAAAAAGAGAAAGAAGACAAGAAAAGAAAGGAAAACGCACATTCACGTATTCCTAAAATAAAAATTATAAGAGGAGAAAAAAAGTTACTGGAAAACAATTATTTTTTCAAAAAAGGCAAAATTAAAGATTAATAAAATTTTTAGAAAAGGAAAAAAAATTTTTTATATATATAAGGTACCAAAAAAAAAAAGAAAAAAAAAAAGAAAAGAAGAAGAGGAAAAAAAAAAAAGTTCTTTGATTTTTTATTTTTTTATTTTTTTGGGAGGAGTGGGAAGAATCCTGTATCTCCCTTTTGTCTGTAACCAGCCTCTTGTTGGAGTCTCTGGTCAGCTTGAGGTCCTGTGGCTTGATTGGTTTCTTAAGTCAGTTTGTTTGAACAGGCAGAAAAATGCTCTGCTTTACCCAAGATTTTGAGATCCCCCTCCCAGATTAGTTTAATGGGAGAGTGATCTGCTTTGAGAATCACAAAAGAGGGGGATGCAGTGGTGAGGCTAGGTTCTGGGTAGAGTTGAGGCCTTTCAACAATCAGTATCTTTTCCCTGGGGCTATTTTGTGAAAAAACTCACAGAGCCCAGCCTGAAGCCATTCTCAGGGTTTCTGTTTTTCAATTGATTGTTGAGGCTGCTAGAGGGAGGGGCAGCCTCTGGCTCTGGTTACCCAGTGAGGAAAGCCACTCCAATGGCTGGTGCCTGAGCTGGGTGACTTTTCCCTGGATGGAGCTGAGTCTGGCAGGTCACTTCGCCGTTAAGTTCTTGTGACCTGCTAAATGACTCGTTTTATTCCAAGGCCTGAGTTGGAGCTGGCAGCTCCTCCGAGCTTTGTCAGTATCCAAGATGGAGATCACTGGTGCTGGGGTGTGGAGGGGTGGCCTTCCCTCCTCTGCTCCCTGAGAAGGAGTGAGGACGTCGGGCTTCTACTCACGCAGAGTCTTGGATCCTGGGTCGTCTCTGGTCTGCAAACTGCAGGATGAAGATGTCCGCTCCTTGTCGGGTTCTTGCTGGTGTTGAGTAGAATCCGCTCGCCTGCTGCGTCTGGCTCCTTAGTCCTGGACTCTCTGTGTGAGCGCTCAGGTATGGCCCCGGCTGCGGTCTCCGCCGGGACCCTGCCGCCGCCGCCCCCACTGCTGCTGGCAAGCGCTCAGATGTGTCTTCTTGCCTTGGCTTTCCCTCTCTTGTCTAACTCTCTGTCCTGTGATGGCACACTTGGTGTGATTCTCTGGCTTAGGACTGTTCACTGGAACTCTAAAACTGCTTTCTATGCGAGAGCTTGTTCAGATTCTAGCTTCTCCTCCGCCATCTTCCCGGAACCTCCACATCATGAAATTTTGTATGTATTATTTTAAATAATGAGTTGACTTTATTGCCATATGATTTTCTTGCCATGAACTGAATGCTTTTAGAACAGTAGTTACGTCTGATGAAAACCTCAACATAAGTGTATTTTTATTTCATTGAGGTCCAGGACCCAAGGAAACATAAATTTTCTAAAATTAATATTGACCTATACAGACTAGATGTGATAGGGTTAGGGAAAGTATGGAGGAGATTGGGCAGGGCAAGTAAAGACACATTGGTGTATTTGTGAGAGAGAAAGAGACATGGCTGTGGGTTAGTTCATAGAGGATACTAGAACAGGTTTCTCTTACAAGATAAGCTGTGTTACATGTGGTAACCTGGTATTTTATGTTTTTTGGCAAAACTATGTGGTAGTAATAATGTTTGTATCTGCTTATGTCAGAGAATAACTGTCTGTTGGAGTAGGTGAACTATTTGAATGCAAAACTAAGAGGATGCTTCTCAAACTAGTAAAGTTACAGATATTGATATGTAGAGACATTTCCCATAATAAATAAATCCCCATAGTTGAAAATATTGTCTTTATTCATTATTTATCCAACAATAACTATCATATGTCTGCACAATAGTAAACTGGAGATAGTCAATTAAAAGAGATGACTCTCCTTTCTTCTCTCTGTCTCTCAAGACTATACAGTTTAGACAAAAGACAGGCTTTAATAAAATAATCATATGTATAACTGTCATCATAATCATTCCAAAGGAAAAGAACCAGATGGTATGAAAGAATAACGGTGCATTATGCTCTTTGGTGTATTTTGTGTGTTCTCTATTATATCCAGAGATAAGAGCCAGCCCCTGCTAATGGCCTCAATGGCATCACCTTTAAGAAGTTGTTTCTTCCTTTGAGCTCTTATAATACTCAATTCATGCATAATTTGTGATTAGCCATTTACACATTTGTCTCCCCAAGTACCTTGTGTGCTCCTGGAGAGCAGGAACCCATTTAATTTAACCCTGTACCACTAGTCCAGTGTTTGGTACACAGAGTTGGTTCAGTAAATTTTAGCTGAATGAATAAATAAATCCTACTGTGATATATTACAGTTAAAATTATATCACAAGTGATAACTTTTCAGCAACAGTGAAGGGCAAATTGCAAGACAATTCTATTTCAAAGATATTCTATCTTTCATATCAGATGGGAATACTTTGTTATGGATTAAAACTTGGTATGTTCCACTCTTTGTGTGCTCATTAATATTTGTTTCAAATTCAACTTGAGATTTTAAATCAAGGTTACTTTGTAAATAACATATTATTTTGAAAATAAATCTGCCATTTGATAGCCAAGTCCAATTAAATATGGGGTGAGAAGTCAAGTTTTAAAATTCTAAATAAATCTCCAAAGTGCTTTCAGTGGATGTATTAAGCAGATTGTGATGTTGCTAAATTTAAATCTGATTATGACCATGGTGAGGGGGGTTGTATATTGTCCAATTATTATTTTTTATCTGGGGTTGGGAGGTAGGTTAATAGCTTTTAATACATCCTCACTTTACTGCTTCCTTGGTCCTTTTGCTTTTTAGTTTTACCACCATCTCCTCTTCTCCAAAAACCTTTTCTAGAGGCTAAACTAGTCTGCATACATTCAGCATATTTAACTCATACCCTAGAATGAGATAAGGATATTACAGAAGCAGGGCTATGAATAGAATTTAGAAAGGTATTTTTTTCTACTTGGCCTGCCATAATAAATATGGATAATTCTGTAGATGATTATAGTGCAGTAAGTATGCTCAAAGGTAACTCTGAGCCAGACAGTGATGCAGCCTTTGAGACACCGTTGACCCTCATAGTGGAGGATGCAATTAATTAGCCAGCTTAAATTTGATCAAAGAAAGGATAGACTCCCACAAAAGTGAAATTGTCCTTAATGAGCTGCTAATTGTTTACATGCACATTGAAGTTGCCTGGTGCTGTTTCTTCTAATTTTACTAATGTATTCCTGGCCCTGCTGCTATGATGGCCTCAAGCAAACTATCAAAAAAATGCAGGTGTGCTTAGCAGGTATAATAAAAGTATAATAAAATGTGCATAGCAGGTTTGTCAGTTGATCTGCTCATATAAGCTTAAGAACTTCACATTTCTATAAATTAAGAAATGAATCACTAGTGCCCTGATTCTCTGATTGCCCTGTCTTCATCATTTTCTCCCCAGGCCCAGACTGACTAGGCTCTTTTACAGGAGTTGGAGCTGACTCATTATCCCACATTACTTTGTCTCACAGATGGCATCATTTTATCTTATGCACAAAGAGACTGACAAGTGACATTGTTGCATTGATTTTATTGTATTAGGCCATGGAGAGTGCTTGCTGTGATGAATATGTGATCTGGGACAGGAGTTTGCATTTGGGACTTGCAGCTTTGTAAGGAGAGACAGGGAGATAAAAAGGAAGATTTTAAATAGGCTTGTAGAGAATGGTGAGAAAAGTGGTAAGAGAAAGTACACTTTCTATATATGTGAGAGGTTTTTGTACATCAAAGAATACTGGAGACCTATAGATGGTTCTTAGGCAAATCTAGACATTTCATATCGCAGAGTGGTTTTTAAGCTTTGCTAAAACTGTTGACAGAAAGGCTTTTCTATTTTTGCTCATAGTTCTAGACTTATTGGTATTTTTGTTAACCAAGAAACTTAGGAATGTTGTAGGGATGAGAAATGGATTGGCTTCTTGTCAATACTAAATTGATAAAGCAATGCTTTTTCCAATTAAATCCCAAGTAAAAGATAATAACCTCCTATAATATATGAGCATATCCATGTATGTATGCATGTGTGCATATGCGTATACTTCCATTTACTAGTAGGCCTTGAATGTAAGTCCAACAGGAATAGTGGAGATAACCAGAAATTCATTGGAAAAAAAGATTCACATCATCATAAGTGATGAGTCAAGGGTAATTTGTAGTTCATTTTGACATATTTAGGTGAAAAAATAAACTTATGAATTAAGTATTCAATGTCTATTTCTTCTGTCAGAAAACAACATGTTTTGTTATAGCTATTAGCTATTGTGAAAACAGAAATATCGAAGCTCATCATACAAGCAGAGCTCTTACACTCAGCAAAGCATGTAAATACTGCAATACTTTATTATGGCTAAATAATAGTACTTCTTAAGACACTTGATGGCATCTATTAAAACTTGGGTTTTCTAGAACAAAGTTTTGCCACTGCCTCACATATGAATTTTCTTATCATAAACTATGGATATAAGAACTAGCCCATTATTATTTAAAGAAAAAAAATTTAGTTTCCATTTCCTATAGTTCATTTCAATAAATGTCATTTTATATGATCAGAAACAGAGAAGCATTGTGCCTTTTTGTTCTTCCTCTCTCTCTTAGGAGTATCCTCTTCTGTTTTCACTGTGTGTGAATGCCTAGAGTCTTATATAATTTATCATGTCCTGGTGTATTTTAGATCTAGCTTCCAAATATGAGAGAAAACATGAGCGAAAACATGAGCTGTTTATCTCTCTGAGCTTGGGTTGCCTGACTTAACATGATTTGTCCTAACCATATCCCTGCAAATGATGTAATATTATTCTTTCTAATTAGCCCATTATTTTCTAAATCAAATGAAATCTGATGTTCAAATTCCCCTCATAAAGGTCATGGAAAACATTTAATATTATACAAATAGACTATGCCTTTCCACCTCCACAGAGTCATGTGGAAATTGTTTATCCCAGAATGAATTATAAATGTCCCTGCCAGTGTATGTATTAGCAAAGTATTTTCATTTGAGGGTGGTGGTACCAGTTTGTCTCTGACAATCTCCCACAGAATTTGGGGCTAGGGCTACATCACATGTTCTCTAGCTAAACAGAGCTTATTCAATTATATTTTTATCTCTTCCCTACCATTATGCTTTGTTTCAAAACTTGTATCTCAGCTACCAGTAACCAAAAAAATATTTGTCACCTTTCCAGTCTTGGATCCTTTCAAAGACCTGGACTTAGCTACCTATGGCTTACCTCTTATAGAGCATCTCTCCACCCAGGCTCTCCCTGGGATGATTTCATATTATCTCTTCCTAGCCTTGGAAATATTGAAATAAGGCTATTTTATTTAGCACCATCCTGCTAGCAGTAGTTTTAATTAAAGAAAAGGTTGTTTTTAGTTGTTATTCCAAAGTGAATATGCACATGTGTATGTGTGGGAGTCCATAAAGTTGCAGCCTCTTATATTATTAACAAATCATGAGAACATTAACAAAAACAACAAAACAAAACAACAATATCAAAAGCCCAGAAAGAAGCAGACTATTGTAGATTTTTTTTAATAATCCAGTACTTGGATTTGAACTGAGGACTTCTTGCTTTTGCTTGGCTTTTTGCTTATGGTCCTTTACCAGTTAAGCCACACCCTTAATTCCAAATTTTTGCTATTGGAGATAAGAGTAAAATGGACTTTCCTGCCTGGCTAGCTTTGAATTTCAATCCTCAAGTCTCAGCATCCTGAGTAGCTAGGATTGTAGGTGTGAATTTCTTGTGTCCAGCTAGATTAGAAGCTTTTGGTCAATCTTTCTTTTTTTTAATTAATTTTTTTATTGTGAAAATACTGTACAGAGGGGTTACAATTACATGGGCAAGACAATAAGTACATTACTTATCAAGAATTGTAGCCTCCTCCTTTGTTTCCCCTTCCCATCCCTTCCCCCCCCCACCTCTCCAACCCTCAGCGCTCCCCCCTCGCACCAAAGTTGTGAAGTTTGTTTTCGACATAACGACTTGTACATCTCATTGTTGCAATGGGTCCACCTGTATCTTTATTTAAACAATTTATTTTTCCCCTTCTCCTCCACAAATTATACCGACATGAAAAACAGTGAAAGCAGGGGTTATACTGTGGGAGAGGGACATACAAAGCAACAAAGAAATAATCTTATAAATGTGTTAGAAACAATCACATGAAAGAAAAAAAAATTGGAATACATATCTTAGGGTTAATTTCCATAACATCACTCTATCTGAACTCTTCTGCTTGACTCAGACATACACTAGTTATTGCAAATAAGGGAAACCATGGGACCTATGTTTCTTTGGGCCTGGCTTAATTCACTTAATATAATTTTTTCCAATACTTTCCATTTCCTAACAAATGGGGCAATGTCATTCTTTCTGATGGAGGCATAGAATTCCATTGTGTATATATACCACATTTTCTTGATCCATTCATCTACTGAGGGGCATCTGGGTTGGTTCCATATCTTAGCTATAGTAAATAATGCTGCAATAAACATAGTCGTGCTGGTATCTTTCGTGTGGTCTTGTTTGTAAACATTTGGCTAAATGCCCAAAAGTGGGATTGCTGGGTCATGGGGGAGCTCTATGTGGAGTCTTTTGCGGAACCTCCATACTGCTTTCCAAAGTGGTTGAACAAGTTTACACTCCCACCAACAATGCAGTAAGGTTGTCTTCGTTCTACATCCCCTCTAGCATCTGTTGTTATTAGAGTTCTTGATTTAGCCATTCTAACTGGGGTGAGGTGGTATCTCAATGTTGCTTTGATTGGCATTTCTTTTATGGCTAGGGAGGTTGAGCATTTCTTCATGTGTCTATAGGCCATCCTTCTTTCTTCTTCAGAGAAGTTTCTCTTTAAGTCTTTAGCCCACTTGTTTATTGGGCAGTTGTTTCTTCGAAATTTTCTTAATAGAGACCCAAAAACAAAACAAATCAAAGGAAGGTTGGACAAATGGGACTGCATGAAATTGCAGAGCTTCTGTATGGAAAAGGACATAGCTAGAAAGATCAATAGAAAGCCCACGGATTGGGAAAAGATCTTCACTAGCCATACAACGGACAAGGGTCTCATATCTAACATATACCTTGAACTCAAAAAATTAAATCCCCCAACAACAAATCTTCAAAGAAACAATTGCTCAATCTTTCTTAAGTTTGTGCTCCACAGCACAAACTTATTTCCTTTAAAAATTGTACTGGTTTCTCACTGACTGTCAAATCAAACCGAATTCCCTGACCTTTAAGATACAGCCTTGATTTACCTTTTCCATTTTTTGTACTTTGTTTCATGATATTCTGTTATGTGAACATCATCAACTACATGCCTTTTTTTTTCTGTTTTTTTTTTGCTCATGGTCTTTGTTATCTGCCTTTTCAGATAATAGTATACAAAGTTCAGTCCACGTGCTCTTCCCACCAGAACTTTTTTCTTGATTCATTTGTTTTCATTTCTTGCTCCTTTGAACTTCAGAACATTTCATTTGTACATCAGTTTTTCAAAGTCTCATATATTTTACCTTAAATTTTGAGAGTTTATATTTTTGGTATAGCTTTTCAGCTAGAGTGAATATGTCCTGAGGGCACACACTGTGACCAAGGCTGACAAGTCTCCTAGTAGAATGGCTACACATTCAACAATTAATTTTGAAATTAGTAGATCAAATCTCAACTTATTTTTAGATCTGATACTGTTTTCATCTCCTCACAGTACCTCTAGTTATTTTGAAGCTATATCTGTTTTTATGCATGCTAATTCATCTCTCCGACTGTTCCTACACCTTGGTCTCCTACAGAGTAAGGACACATGCAGTCATTTGTTTCTTGTTATTTAGATTGAGAATTTCTTGTAGTTTCTTTTCTGATTTGTAATAGACAAATAAATCATTTCTTTGTCACCTTTGCTATTCTCTCAGAGTTACATTAAACTACTGGAAAAGATAAGTTTATCCTAAAGCCTAGCTTGCATTTGTCTTACATTGAAAACTTGACAAAGACTCTGGGCATCACAAGAGTAATTCTATCAAAGGTGTAATAGACTTTTTGTTGTATAAATTAGTGTGGGAGGGCTATTTAATTTAGAATGAGATTAATTTTACCTTTATAAATGCTAGCTCCCTTATTTTTAATATTTTTCACTTCAAGTACTTTTTTCAGTGGGGTTAGTTCCACTTAGTTTGTGCCATTATTTTACATTTGCTAATTCCAAATGTAACACAGATCCTATTGTATCCTTTCTTTAAAATATCTTCATTATAATGACCAATTATTTTATAAATATTAAAGACTGTTGTTCAATTTAATTCTGCAGGGCACATCATATTTCTATTTTTAATGCTTAAAATCTCATTCTTCCTATTTATCAACTAGTTAACAGCAGTTGATTTTATGTTATACACATGCACTTCAGTCTCTCTTTTTTGTTTCCATACTTTCATTTCCTCTTCAACTGTGCAGTCATTTTGTACTTGTTTTTGTTATTTACCTATCACCTAAAATAGAAAATACTCAGTAAATGCTTGATAAAAGATATATTAATGAAGTATAGCATGTTATACCAGGTACAAACTATTTCATTCGATATATTCAGTGTTTTTTGAGGATAGCATTGGCGACTTATTCTGTTTAGTTTCCTTCCATAATTTAATATAGAGCCTATTGAATTGAGGTAGTCAAGATCAAAGAAGA